ATCACGTCCTGCTCCTCCCGCCCCATCTGCCCGTTCTCGCCGCTGTGAGGGTTCAGGCCCGCCACCGCGATGTGCACCTGTCAGGCATGGGCAGCATTTGGCTGTCAACGACTCGGAGATGGCGGCCGGTCAGGTGTCAATCGCTCGCTGACCGTTTCCAGAGCCGTCTGCGGCAGGCAGCCAGCAAAGCACCCGCACCCAGGCAGGGCCGGGGCGCTGGCGCCGGCCTGCCGCCCGCCCCACGCCAGCACAAGGGGTCCCGCCGCACCCTGTCTTCCGAGTATCCAAAGTCCCTCGACAATGATGACATCAGCAGCCGCAGCTTCTGGTCGAGCAGCTTCCTGGTGATGGCCCCTGGCACCTCCCCCAGGGGGACGTGGGTCGTGGCGAGCATCAGGTTGCACCGCCAGCCGCTCGTGGGGGAGTGGGCGGAGAACATCTGCCGGTGGGGGGTTTCACAGGGTTTTGTTGGGCAGGCAGGCGAGTGGGGGGGGGGCAAATATGTGGTGAGGGGCATTTGCTAAGCGAGCAAGCGCTGCTGAGTCGCCGCCAGCTCAATATGGGCGAGGCAGCCGCAAGCTCGAATGGGCTCCCCCCCCCAAAGCTCCTGTGGTAGCTGGAAGATACACGCCCCTGAATACATACAAGTCCTCCTCATGAAACCCCGGGAGGATATAGGGCCCCAAAGCTCAGAGGGGCCCCACGCAGCCGCCCTCTCCCCACAACGCACCCGGCAACTGCGCTGCGCGGTGGGCGAGCTGCGCCGCGCGTGCTGGGCGCCCGCTCACCATCCCGTACTCGCCCTCCTTGGCGCCGGCCCGTTCTGCTAGGTACTCCGTTTGGCCGGGGTAGACGTGGCCCGCCGCGTGCCACGCTGACTTGGCGATGGGGCCAGTCACGACGGCGTCGTAGTCCCCTTGAGCGGGCAGGAGTTGGATGGCGGGTGTCGCGCGGGGGCGCGGCGCGGGGTGCGCGTTGAGACAGGGAGTGCGAAGAGGCGCCTGCGAGCAGGCGAGGCCGCGTTGGTGGGACTGGCCTGGCGCCAAGGCCAGGCGCTCAGCAGCGACCACGCGCTTCACAGGGTGGCCCCCTCGTCCTCGCTCTTCCGCGTCCCAGACGCACTCGCTTTCCCCAGGCGCCCGACGCGAGCAGCCGCGCTGCACTCAACGTCGCCCTTTCCTTGCCCTCGCCGATCCCCGCCGCACAACTCAAGGCCGGAGCTTCCCCCACGCGGCGGCCGCGGGTCCGAGGCTCTCCGCGCCCCCGGCCCCGGCGCACAAACAAACGGCGGCGCACCCGCCAGCGTCCGCGTGACGGCAGCTTCCAGGAACCTGAAGGAAGCTTCCCCCGACGCCTGGGTCCCCAGGTGCGGCACCACCCCAGGCACCACCCAGGGCATCAAGGACACGTCGTGAATTCGAACAGACGAGAGATCCAACAGCTGCTGCTGCTGCTGCTGCTGCTGCTGCTGCTGCTGCTGCTGCTGCTGCTGCTGCTGCTGCTGCTGTGAAGCGGCGCCGCGGCGCTGCGCGGCAAGGCACTGTTTGAGCTCGGCGTGGCTGCGGGCGAGGAGGCCGGCACAGCCAAAGAGCGTGATGTCTGCGAGGTCTGATACTGCATGATTGTGCAGGGCGTGTGGGGGGGTGCCACGGGCCAGGATTGGTGTGAGAGTTGGGGTGAGGCGCCAGGAGTTTTGAGAAGGAATGTCCTGGGAGGCGTGCGTCGCGCGCACCTGAGGGGTCAGACAGGGCCTTGAGGCAGACCTCGGGGCCGATCCCCGACGGGTCGCCGCAGGCGATCGCGATGCGCGGCTTGACGCCGCCCGCGGACGCTGCGGGGGCGGGCGCGTCGGCGACCGCGGAGGCGGGAACGCAGCGGGCAGCGCGGCGGCGCGTGGCGGCGGGCCGGGGCGCAAGGGTCCGTAAGGAGGCGCTGCTAGGCGCCCTTGTTCGCTGCAGGCGCTGCATGGCTGATGCCCTGCTGATCCTAGATGATGTCGGTGATCAGCTGTGTGGAGCGTGTGAGTGCGCCCTATAACATATGAACTCTTGAAGATGATCAGATTTTCCTCTACATAGCAGATTTAAGCGAAGTTCTGTCCCCTTTCGTGCTGAGGTGGCTGTGTCACCAGCACGCCCGCACCGATGGGCGAGATACCAAGGAACTGATACAGTTCGCTTGTGTATCACAATACTTGATTTCACCTGAAGTATTCGGCTCGCGTAGTTTCCGATCGCTTTGAACACCGTTCTTACTTTACATCTACACCTGCAGCCCTGCAGCAAATTCAGGACTCGTATCCGCCCACTTGTCTCTAGAACGAAAGCAATTCACATCTTCTATATATTAGGTTCGCGGCCGGAGCAGGCTGCAGGATCCTGTGCTGCGCGCGCCGCAGCAGCGCCGCAGCCGCCGCAGCACTTCGCTGCTCGCCGAGGCGCCCGTGGCCGCGCAGACGACCCCTGCGCCCAGGAGCAGGGTCGTCAATTGAGCGCTAGCGTCCCTGTAGAGGCGAGGCAGCGCTAGGTGCCGCAGCGCGGCAGCGCCCATCGCCCGCCCTGCGCCGCGCATCCTGCGCCGCGGCGCGCGGCCCCCACCCCGCCTGCGCCCCCGCCCTGCGGGCCGCCTGGGCCGGCACCCAACCCTAGCAACAGCCGCGGCGGCGGCAGGCGCCCGGCATGAAGGTCAAAGTCATAAACCGCGACGAGGAGGCGTTCACCCGGGAGCGGTCGAACGACCTCAAAAAGGTGCACAGGAACTACGACCCAGACCTCCACCAATTCACAAAGGCCCACGAGTACGCGCGCGCCCTCAACGCCGCAAAGCTCGACCGCGTCTTCGCGAAGCCCTTTGTCTGCGCCCTGCCCCACGGCGACGGCATCACGGCGCTCGCCCGCAACCCGCGGCGCCTCAACTCGCTCGTCGCGGGCAGCGCCGACGGCGACATACGCATCTGGGACGTGCCCGGGGAGCGCGCGCTGCGGCGGCTCGTCGGCCACAGCGGCGCGGTGCGCGGCATCGGCTTTGCCCCCGACGGCGAGACGTGCGTTTCTGCCGGCGCCGACGCGAGCGCCAAGCTGTGGAAGGTGCCATACGCGCCGTTCGAGGCCGGCGACGTGTGCGCGGAGACGGGGCCCGTGCTTGAATTCCAAGGGAAGCACGCGTTCAGGGGCGTCGACCACCACTGGGGCCGCCAGACGTTTGCGACGGCGGGGGCGGTGGTGGAGCTCTGGGACCACGGGCGCAGCGAGCCGGTGGGCAGCTTCACCTGGGGCAGCGATAGCGTCGTGTCGGTGCGGTTCAACCCGGTGAGCGGGCGGGCTTGGCCTTTTTCGAATATTTTTGAGTTTTTTTCAACATCTCATGTGTTCGGAGAATCCATCGCACTTCAAGCTTTCGTGCGTGACCATTGGATCGTCCCGCAACAGTCCCCAGAAGCCGGGGCCGCGGCGCCGGCGCGCGCGGCGGGGGCGCGAGCAGCGGGGGATTTTGGTTTTCTCCGGCGCCGTGCGAGGCGCTCAAACCTGCGGCCGCGCGGGATACGAGGGCGCCGCAGCACGCAGCGTGGGCGGCCTTGCGACGCCCGCACCCCGCGCGCCTCAACCGCCC